AAATTTTAAAACACAAAAAAGGAGCAGTGCCACCTAATGGATATTTGCAGCAGCTAAGGAATACAAACTGTGAGGAGAGCTTCTTCATTGGTAACAAAGGTATTACATTTAGTGGAACAATTTTTAAAAATAGTTTTAAGTAGTTTGGTTATTTGTGCAGTTTATGAAAACTTTTTCTAATATTTCATTAGTTATGTTCTCTATTTTTAGTTCTCTATTTTTGTTTTTATTTTCTTAAAAGGTGTGTGTTAAGGACACATCCGCACCACAGAAGTAAAGAAAAGCCAGCATGTGTAAATGCAGTGAGATTTTGTAAACATTAGCTGCGGACAGGACAAACCAACACTTGGTTAAAAGACAATTAAATCAAAGCAGCACATACCATTTTTTACTGCTTTATTTTGTAGGCCGTTTTCAATCATATCCTGAAGTTAAAAAGGGTAAGAATTTACAAAATTGAAATAAAATTTGAAAAAAACATTCCTTCCACAGCTCAATGTTGTGTGCCATCATCCCTAGTTGTTAAGCAAAGGCAGGACCTATCCTGGCCCAGGAGAGCTGCAGGGTAACAGGTCTTAAACAGTAGCTCCCCCTCGTCTGGTCCATTTGCATAGACATGGAACACATGCACTTTAATCAAGACTGTAACTTAGTGTTCAGTTAAATCGCAATGCGCTTCTTGATAGCTACAGCATATTTTCATTTTCAATCATTTCTACTTATCTGAAGCTTTAGAAACAGATGAACTGAGGGAGACCCATCAAACCTGCTGGGGTGTGAGTGACTCTCTGGAATCAGGATGGGCCACCCTTGACCAGGCACACTCATATTCATTCACTGCTTCAACAAAAGGGTAAGGCACAATAAATGCTTTTCATACTCACCTTCCCATTGAAGGTGGACCGTACACTTCCATCTACAATACGGGGCATCGTATGATATCCTGTTGAAGTAGATTTCTTGTGTTAGCACCGTACTCTGAGACTCCATTTACACAATATAGAACACAATGTCTCTATGCCAAATGACCGAAAAATGATAGGACACAGGTCCTGCATGTTTAGAGCATGCAGTCTTGAGCAAGCAGATGGACAGCCCTTCTTGTTTTGTTCATTATAGTTCTGTAACTTTATAGTGCATCTGCAGGAATGGAGAAGCAACTGATCACCACTAGAAAGTAAGGAATAAATGGAGCTTTTAACTGGCCAGCCAGTTTGCTAGCTGGATTAAGATCTCCTGAGAGAGACGTAAACAGACTAGTGAGGACAGCTTGCTGTTGGACACACGTTACATTTTGGTGTAATTTTTTAAGGCATGAAAGATGGATTTCATTTAGAGTAATACATCTTCGCTGTGACTGATATTTCATAACACCAGGTCTAACTTTGAGCTTTCCACTTTCTTTGTTCAGATACAGCAATGCTACGAGAATACTGGTTATGTCAGTGCAGAACACTTAAGTGTTCGATATGAGCATCAACTGATATGCATGCGTCTGTGCAACATGTATGACCTGATTTTAAACACCAGACCCTAACTGCAAAGAAAAACAAGTTTGAAAGTGAAAAGAGTACAAATTAGAAAAAGACTGATAACCCACTGCTTGTTAATCTGAGAGTTATGGCATGTAACCTTACCTGAAACAGCTGGTTCTTGTTCATCATCTGTTGTTTGTCTGTCGAGTGAGAATATAAATTAATGTTAAGAGAACTGATATTACATCACAAAATGATGCATTTGTATTTTAAAAGAAAACAGAATGAGGAGACAGTAGATGGGGATACTGAATACAGTAGGAGCAGAGGAGTAAAGAAAAGAATCAGTGAAGTAAAGGCCCTTCTAAAGAAGGTTTTTAGTCTAGATTTGAGGATGTTTAGAGAAGGTGACTCTCTGATATCCTTAGGGATAGAGTTCCAGAGCTTTGGCATAACCCATAGAGTGTAGACGGGTTTGGGGGACAGACAAGAAACCAGAATAAGAAGAATGAATGTTGCGAGGTGCGGCGTAGGGAGATAGTAGCTCAGACAGGTACTGAGGTGCCAGGCCATGCAGAGCCTTACAGGTGAGCATGAGGATTTTGAAGTCTCAACAGGATAACAGGTCTTAAACAGTAGCTCCCCCTCGTCTGGTCCATTTGCATAGACATGGAACACATGCAGTGCAAGGACGCCAGGAGAGGAGTAATGTGATCACTTGCACTAGATTATGGGTGCCGAATTTTGAACATAATGGAGTTTGTTCAGTGTTGATTTAGAAACCCAGGTCAGGTTCGGTATTGATGTAGATTTGAGCATCATCAGCACAGAAATGATAGTTGAGGCCATGTGATCTTAAAAGCTGACCAAGTGGAAACATGTAAATGCTGAAAAGTAGGGGGGCCAGTATCAACCCCTGAGGAACACCAGACTTGACAAATCCAATTTCAGACCT